TATGATTCTCATGATTTACCACTCATATGTTGTGTTTGACTGGAGCAATGGAGTCTAACTAATTAAGAGTCTGTCTAAGTAAGTCCTTAATCTTTGGTAAACTGCATCTTGGATTAAACCAAAACAGTCCAACACTACAGAACAGTCTAAAGTGGAGCCGTCTCCAGGAGGGTTTAATGGTTTAAAGGACATGTCCAGTGTATTTTTCAAGGTAAAGGTTTAATTCTTTGCCCCTGAATGCACAGATGTGGGAGCATCTATTAGAAAACGTTCAAAAATGTTTATCTGTCCCTCTGAAACCAGTCAGAAAACACTGATATCGCGTGTGTGTGTTTGTGAGACCTCGTAGCAGATCTCTTTGACGGCCTGCATGCGGAGGTCCTCCATGGTGACCCGTTTGGGGTCTTTGCTGATCCTCCTCCTCTGAGGGATCTGATAGACTCGCAGAGGCTCCCTCCTCTTACCGCTGCTGGGCAGACCGCAGCGCTTTACTATGGACTGCACCTGGACACAGACGCACAGGTGAGACGGGGAACAGCCCCGAAGGTGAAGTCACAGCTGCATGAGGAGCTATGAAGGAGCTGGTACCTTATTGGCCGGCAGCTTCTCTCTCAGGGAGGAGATGAGCCTCCAGCTTTCCTCACAGGACCGTTTGTCCGAGTCGTCCCCGCTGTCGCTGTCTGCGTACTGCACACACAGAGAAGGTTAAACACCAGAAGCTTTCACCACACGAGCTCACGTGGAGGAGAAACTCACCAGTCTGTGTTGCTCCAGCAGCAAGTCGGCCTCCTCCTTCTCTTTACGGTACTGAGTCTCCACGTCCTGCAGTCTGCAGCGCACACACCAAACAACCAATGAGATGATCGATAATCAGGCAACAGCTCTGATATCTGACGTGGTTTACAGTGTGTCTACAGATGCTATCTGAAACCCAAACTTCAGCGTGTAGTAACGGTGCGTCTACCTCTTCTCCATCTCCAGCTTGATGTCGATGCCTTGTTTCTCCAGCAGCTCTTTCTGGGCGTAGTTCCAGTCCTCCGGCTCCTCCTGCTGCTCCATCGTGGCGCTGCGCTCCCTCTCCAGCCTCGCCTGTTCAGGGTGGTTGAATCGAAACACGTGGTTCTTCCCCATGACGATGCGGTTACCTAGAGACGAAAACAGACAGGAAGCGGAGTCTGAAGCCGGCTGCAGGTTTTCGGGTGGTGTATTTACTCCGTCGATCAAACCTTCTTTGTTTTTCATGTGATGCATAATAAGCTGTAAACTAAAGTGAAACCTGATGTAACAGCTGCAGCAGCCGCGTAACGGCAGGTGCTTCCTGTTTGTTTAAAGCTGCCGGGCGTGTTTCTGTACCTTGTTTTAATATGACGGCGTCTGTGATCTGCTTCCCATTAACGTAGGTCTCTGCTCCGACTAACGGCTCCAGAGTGACCACCACTGCAGAGGCAGACACAGAGAGTCCAAGCAAAGGAAGAAAAACTCATCAGGAGATGAAAGACAGCACTGTGAAACACGATATGACTCATGAGCATGAAACAGTCTGAAGGCAGGAATCAGCAGCGGCGATGGAGGTTTTACGGAGGCTTTATCAAAGACTTTAATATCTGGGCTTCCTCCTGTAACATTAGCAGAAAGGTTGATCCACAATCCAGAGACAGAGACCTGGATCTGAAAGTGGTGTGGCCACAACTGCAGAGGCCTCATAGAGACATGCACCGAAACCAGGGATCGCTCAGGGTAACAGCAGCAGACACACACACACACAGAGGGTGAGCAGGGCAGGTGTAGGGAGGTTGGGGGGGCACAGGAAACATGGGCGTGAACATGAGGATGATGTCACCATGACAACAAGTAACAGTGACTAATACCTGACAGATTTCCTGGCAGCTTTCACAGAAAGAGAAGAAGAAAGAGAGTCACTCACTGAGCACACACACACACACACACACGGCTGTTTTTCAAGCTTTCAATGCAAACAGAAACAGAGCTGCAGGTTTCACAGCTTCAGACTCGAACACGCTCCTGGAACAAACATCTAATGCCATAATCTACTGTACATTTATGCAAATTAGCCCAATGTAATACCACATTTGCATAATATATTTTAGTCAGTACGCAATTGAAGCTAGATATATATAGAAACACACACTCAAACGTTTCTAATCAACATGTCCTGGCTGCAAGGTTTCTAAATTCACACATCATACATACGCATGTGGCGCCATCATGTGTTAAAGAAAAGTACTGCAGGAGCTTTTTATTCCTTCTTGTCTTAAACTGTGAAGAAACGTTCACAGACAGGTTTGAGTGTGCTCTCAGTCCTTGAAGATGAACATAAGCCAGTGAAATCAGGAGATGTAATGTGACAGAACTCAAGAGCACATTCGTCTGCCGTGGTGACTTAGTCGAGTCATGAGTCATGTTAATGATTAACTCAGCTGTCTGCAGGTCTGACTTTAAACCCAGCTGCTGCTGAAACATGTCAGGGAGCTTATTTTGAGGAGTGATGGAAACCAAACCTGATTAAAAATGCATTTTCATTTTATTTCTGTTGTCCTCACACTGCCACAGCAGCACGGCATGACTAAGCGTTCAAAATCATCTTTATCTATGTCACCCTGGGAGCAGCCCCTCTGTGTGAAACGAGCTGCTGGAGCTCCTCTCTTTGAAGGCAGATCCCCCCAAACAGACTGCAGCTGTGCTCACAGCTGGCTATATTAGTGATATGACCTCTTTATGACATCATACAGATCCTATAATAGAAACAAAAACTGTGCACAGTGAGTAGGGCAGGCTGCTGACAGCTATGTTCACTACATCATTATTACAACCTCACTCCACGTTTGATAATAAGAAAAACTTCCAGCACTGTACAGGAAATCTACGACAGCAGACTGTAGAATAGGCCAGCTATGATGCAACAGCAAATAATGAAGCGGATTTTAATAAATAACAACAACAACTGTAGTTTGCACTTTTATTCTTTTATAACTTCAGATGTTAAACAGTTCCAGGTAAAGAGTTGAATATGTTTCTCTGGTGTCTGTAAAGTACTGAACGGCTCGTGGTTCAGGTTATCACGCAGTGAACTTCAGGAGCTGAACGGTTTATACCAGCAGAGGGCGCTCAAAGCACAGGACCGAGGCTACTTAAACTCTGCACAATGAAGCTGTGTGATCACAGAACACCAGCGCAGCAGAGCAGAGTCAGCCAATCAGGGATCAGAGTGTCAGACATGTGACCAAAGGTTTATACAAGGAGTAAAAATCTCACCTTCTCCCTGCTCGTTGGTCTCACTGACGAAAACGCAGTGAATCTCCTTTATGAACTGACCCGACAGCTTAATGTCCACGTCCTGCTGCCCGACCCTGGCACACACACACACACACACACACACACACACACACACACACACACAGAAGAAAAAACTTTAATGTAAACACCTGCCAAGTTAGTTATACAACTCCACCAGGAATAAAGATGAAGGTGCAACTTCTCCTGCAATAAAACTAACGAAGGAGCTTCTGATGTCCAAGATCATAAAGCTGTTGCGTGTTGTTGTTAGATAGCGAGTCTCGTGTCTGATAAGATGATACGTAACGAAACTCATTGTTATTGTTCTCGATAAGGACTCTGTGGATCATTATTGATGTGGTAACTCTGCACGAGCAGATTTCTGTAAACCGTGTCGTTACTTCTACTACTGAAGTAAAGCAGCTAAACGAGTGATAGACTTGTGTCTGTGTGTAATTTGTTGCTTTCACACGGAGGTGAGCTGAGGCGTCTCTGACCTCTGGTCTCTTCACAGGACGACTAAAACTATTTCTAACTTTAGACTCAATTTATCAGATTTTCTGAGCAAAGACCAGCAAAGCGATCGATTAACTGATGAAATCACAGCTGACCTGGTCACGCCCTCCTTGATGTAATAGAGGAGGCACTCAGACATCAGAGGGTCTTCATTCAGGTTGACCAGGTGAGGCGTCTGTAACACATACACACAAAGTTTAGTTTTACTTGATGGGGACATCTTTATTTGCCCTTTAAAAGTGAAAATGAAAGATAAACAGCATAATTTACCAAAGTGAAGCATGAATGAAGACAACACAGTTAAAGTGAATGCTGACATTGAGTCGAGGTTGTTTTTACTGAGCTGAGCTGTCAAAACTGGTCATTAAGGGCAGAGCGGAGGCTGTCAGTCTTTATGAGGCAAAGATTTAAAAGTGTTGGTGCTGCATGATTGATCATCTCTGAGTTTTAATCTGGATTTCAAACATCTGCTCAGCAGACCGATTTTACCTCAAAGACCAGAAAGAAAGCAAACAGTGACATCATCACTTCTAAAGCTGAGTGTGACTCGACACAGGTGCTTATGAGCAGCAGACACTCGGCTCTGACTTTGACGAACACTCCCAGGCATGAAGTAAAACCCATTTATCAGCTGTTCTAACAAAACAACAACTAACTCAGAGTAGATTTAACCTGACTTAAAGGTGAATCCAAACAATAAATACACAGTTTA